CAACGACAGCAGCAGCACCAGCAACAACAACAACGACAGCAGCAGCAGCAGCAGCAGCAGCAGTTCGTTGCCTGCTGATTTATTTGCTTTGCGTTGTATAACAGAATATCCGCAGCCTTTTGCTGCTCCGCCTCCTCTGTTTACCCCCGGGCCTCAGGTGTCTGCACTTCGTTTGTTTTTTATTTTATATTAATCAATTTATATCGGCTGCTGCTGCTCTTGCTGCTGTTGCTGCTCTTGCTGCTCTTGCTGCTGCTGCTGCTGTCTCCGTCTCCTGTAACATCTTTCCTGCTGCTGCTACCGTCTCTGCTGCTGCTGCTGCTGCTATTTGCTGTGTCTGTTTTGTCTCCTTTCTACTGTTGATAGTGGTGGTGCTACTCTCTCTTTTGCTGCTGCCGCTGCATCTGCTGCTGCATTTGCTGCTGCTGCATTTGCTGCTGCATTCGATATTTGCTGCTGCTGTACTTGCTGCTGCATTCGATATTTGCTGCTGCTGCACTTGCTGCTGCATTCGATATTTACTGCTGCTGCATTTGCTGCTGCTGCATTTGCTGCCGCTGCATTTGCTGCTGCTGCCGCTGCATCTGCTGCTGCATTTGCCGCTGCTGCATTTGCTGCTGCAGGTTTTAGAGCGTGTTGCTGCAGTCCCTGTGCTCGTCGTTGGTGCTGGAGGCCTCGGTAGGCTGCTTGCTTTTATATATTTTATTTATTTTATTTATTTATTTTATTTATTTTATTTATTTGTTTGTTTCTTATATATATTCGTTTCTTTTCCTGCTGCTGCTGCTACTGCTGCTGCTGCTGCTGCTGTTTTCTTAAGTTGCTGCTGTTTGCTGCTTTAGTGGGGCCAAGTGCTGCAGGGGTGCTCTTCCTTCTGCTGCTGTTGCTGTTGCTGCAGCTGCTATTGCTGCTGCTGCTATCGCTGCTGCTGCAGTTGCTGATGCTGTTGACATTGCTGCTGCTGCATGCATTTGTTTATGTTGCTGTTTGAAGTGTGCAAGGCCCCGAAGCTGTTTTATATTCGTTTGTCTTCTGTTGCTGCCATTGCTGCTGTTGCTGCTGCTGCTGCTATTTCTGATGCTGCTTCTATCTCTCCTGCTGCTGTCTTTGCTGCTATGTTTGCTGCTGTATTTGTTACAATCTATGTTGCTGCTTTTATTACTGCTGCTTTTGCTCTTGCTGCTTCTATGATGACTGCTGCTTTTGCTCTTGCTGCTGCAATCATTACTACTACTACTGCTGCTGCTGCTGCTGCTGCTGCTGCTTAAAGGGTGCGAGGTTTTGAAGGGTTTATGCGTGAGCGGGTTCCGCGAGCTGAGTGTAGTGGACGGGGACACCGTATCTTTGTCTAATCTGCACCGCCAGTGTTTGTTCAAAGAGAAAGATATTAATAGTCCAAAAGCTTTTGCTGCTGCTGCTGCACTCAACAGCAGATTCGCTAACTTAGGAGTTAAAGTCAAGCCGTAAGCCCCGTATGCATGCAGATATATTAATCATATATATATAGGTATATTATGTATCTTTGCTGCTGTTGCTGCGGGCGCTGCTGCTGCTATTGCTGCTTCTGTTGATATTGCTGCTGCTGTTGCTGCTTCTGTTGATGTTACTGCTGCTGTTGTTGATGCTGCTACTGCTATCCTTCTTGTTGCTGCTGCGGCTGTTCATGTTGCTGCGCGTGTGGGTGCTGTTTCTGTCGTTCCTGTTGCTGCTGCTGCTGCTGCTGTTGCTGCTGCTGCTGCTGCTGCTGCTGTCAGTTACTGCTGCCGATTGCAGGAGAAAGGCATTCTGTTTTTAAAAAAATTTAAAATAATTATCGGCTGTCTCGACTGTGTGGAGACCCGAAGATGGCTCAATGGATGCATGCATCAACTCGTGGGTTTGCTGCTGCTGCTGCTGCTGCTGCTGCTGCTATTGCTGCTGCTATTGCTGCTGCTGTTGTTGCTGCTGCTGCTGCAATTGCTGCTGCTGTTGGTGTTCCAAATGCTGCTGTGACGTTTGAGCAGTCCCCTCTTGTGCTGCTCGTACCGCAAAAACCGCTGCTGCTGCTGCTGCTGCTGCTGCTGTTGCTGCTGCTGCTGCTGCTGCTGCTGCAGATAGAGCGAGATAGCTCAGGTGAAGTTGATTTAGAAAAGGCTTGCCTCCTCCTCGATGGAGGCAGCGAGGGTTTAAGAGGACAGATGAGAGTTTGCATACCTGGCGTCTCCGCTTGTTATGACTGCGGCATAGAGACGCTCGCACCCCCAGTCAGTTGTTTATCTTTATCTTTATCTTTATCTTTATCTTTATCTTTATCTTTGTCTTTGTCTTTATCTTTGTCTTTATCTTTGTCTTGGTCTTCTGATTCTGACTCTGGTTCTGCTGCTGCAGCTGCTGCTGCTGCTGCTGCTTCTTCCATTTGCTGCTTCGGATGCTGCTGCTTCTGCTGCATCTGCTGCTGCTGCTGCTGCTTTTGCTGCTGGTGTTGCTGCATCTGCATCTGCAGTTAATCCTGCTGCTTCAGCTGCACATGCTGTATCTGCTGCTGCTGCTGGTGGTGATTCTGCTGCATCTGCTGCATCTGCTGCTGCTGCTGCTGCTGCTGCTGCTGCTGCAGGTGACGTATCCGCTATGTACGATCGCCACAACACCTCGCCAGCCGGAGCACTGCGTTGGTAGGAAAACTATTTATCCTACAAGGGTTTAGGGTTTAGGGTTTAGGGTTTATATCTGAGGGTTTGTTTAGGGTTTAGTAGGGTTTAAAGTTGTTTCCTAGGGCTGTTTAAGGGTTTACAAGGGTTCATAAGGGTTTATAAGGGTTTCTAAGGGCTTATAAGGGTTTATAAGGGCTTATAAGGGCTTATAAGGGTTTAGGGTTTAGGGTTATCTAGGGTTTAGGGTTATTTAGGGTTATTTAAGGTTATCTAGGGTTATTTAGGGTTATTTAGGGTTATTTAGGGTTATCTAGGGTTATATAGGGTTATTTAGGGTTTAGGGTTTGTGTTTTCAGCATATTGTTTGTCGGTGTTGTGGCCCAAAGAACGGCCAAACGAAATTTTTGTAAGAAATTCGTCGCCAGCGTTTTTTGCTTTTTATTTGCAGTGTATCAAACATCTAAATATATATATTTATATTTATACGTTTATATTTATATTTATATGTTTATATTTATATATTTATATTTATATTTATATATATATGTATATATCTAATATATGAATAGGTAAATATAAATATTAAATATTATTTGTGTGTTGCTGCAACAGGATGCAGATAAATCTGCTGATATATATAAATATATATGTATAATAATATAAATATAAATAATAATATAAATAATAATATAAATATAATATAAATATAAATATAATATATAATTGTTTGTTGCTGCAACAGGATGCAGACAACTCTGCTGATATATATATATATATATATATTATATATATAAATAAATGAATAATAAGAGCAAATATAAACATAATAATAATATAAATATAATATAAATATAAATATAAATAATTTA